TTTCAGGATCTATGGCTCCAGCAGCCCGGTAGATCCTGAAAGTTAGGTTTTTTAGGAAAATTCGAGCCTGCTCAAGTTTCTGGGACCTAAAGCTTCAAGAATTTTAGGAAAATTCGAGCCGGCTCGAATTTTCCAAAAAAAACTGACACAGTAGATTGCCGAAACACGATCAGGCTCGAATTTTCAAAAAAAAGCCTAAATTTCAGGATCTATGGCTCCAGCAGCCCGGTAGATCCTGAAAGTTAGGTTTTTTTGGAAAATTCGAGCCTGCTCGAGTTTCTGGGACCTAAAGCTTCAAGAATTTTAGGAAAATTCGAGCCGGCTCGAATTTTCCAAAAAAACTGACACAGTAGATTGCCGAAACACGACCAGGCTCGAATTTTCAAAAAAAAGCCTAAATTTCAGGATCTATGGCTCCAGCAGCCCGGTAGATCCTGAAAGTTCGGTTTTTTTTTTGAAAATTCGAGCCTGCTCGAGTTTTCGAGACCTGGAGCTTCAAGAATTTTCGGAAAATTCGAGCCGGCTCGAACTTTCTAAAAAATATGCTGAAACCATGGCTGTGTGACCCCAAGGTCTCATAGATGACAGAATGTAGGTTTTTTTTGGAAAATTCGAGCCTGCTCGAGTTGTGGTGACCTGGTGCCTGGAGATTTTTCGGGAAATTCGAGCCGGCTCGAGTTTTCCCGAAATCTCTTGATATTCTGACTGCGGTAATTGATACAATTAGTAGCATTAGTTACCAATTCTATTTCAATTGGTAAGTTTCCCATATTTTTTGACGGCAAATATTTAACTTGTGAGAAGAGGCCACGCAATGGTTTAAATCCAACAATCGTTTTGGTCTTAAACCCTTGACAATTAACATAATAACTACCTTTGTGTCAAAGAAAACTTAAACTATCAATGAGGATATCTGCGGGACTAAAAGTTTCCATGATATATAAATAGCATAGATAATTTGATTACATATACATACCTTCAACTTGTATTCAATCAAGTAATTCAAAGCTATATGAAGTGTCTTACTATTATTCTTCTTCCTACCTTTCACCTGCTTTACTGCTTCATCTACTTAATTATTCTCAACTAACTTTCTTATCTCTTCGTAAGCATGTTGTTTAAATTGCTTCTCTATCTTCGATGTCTCTATTTGTTCGGATGTTGTTGCTTTCTTATGAAATGATTATGGCATCAAACTGTTGTTAAAAACTCTTCTTCGGTTATAGGTAGATGTCCTGCTTTGTTTTTAATATTGCCTATATCTTCATAAGGATGTTTTTGTAGAGGGTCTAATGTTGATTTCTTTGATGTTATACTTCCTTTTTCAAACATACTAACGGGGTCTTCTACTTTCCGTATTCATATGTTTTGTCCCAGTGTCTTCTGGTCGTTGTCCTGATACATAAGGAGAACCATAGCTACGACTTCTGAATACATTCCCATAATCATTGTTTATTTGTTGTCCCGATGCTGAACCTAAACTGTGACTTACAATACCAGAAATTCCAGTTTCTTCTTTTCTTTAACCGTCTATTTCAATAAAACCATCTTGAATGAACTTATCTACATCTTTATAACACTGAGTCAGTTGCATCTTATATAAAGGAAGGTTTCAATCACCATAAACATCTCTACAGCTTTTAGTCCCAGCAATGTATAAAATAGAACCATTTTTGATATATCCCGTCAGGATTCTCATACGCTAATTTAAGTCCTTGCGTGTCCGTTAAGAATGTCTCTGTCTTTGCGAATTCGTCTCTAACTTCATTACGTAGTCTGCTTCTTGTGTTAGGTGCTTTATTTGAAACCCCTTCATCTCTTCTTTTATGTTCATGCATTATACAATGGTTTATAGGGTAATATTTATCTAATCAATGAATATTGTTGAAGTTCAAGAAGGTGTATATTGGAAGCTGCTATAGAGTGAATAACAGAGATTAGCAAACCACACAAAACCAAATCCAGAAACGGATTCTGTTTGTAGATTTCTGTTGTTTAAAAGTGTAGATAATCAATAGCAAGTTGTAGCTTCAGACATGGCAAGACACGAAAGTATCGTAAATACCGGTGTTTTTTTCACATCAACCATATGTGCAAATAAGCACAGGTGCAGAAGGACAAGCAAGAAAAGGATACATATGGATCATGGGGGGTGTGTGACCATATATATATATATACACCCTTTAACAGCAGGGTACCTGAAATATCCCCCCCTACAATATACCCTTGAAGGGATTATATAGGGGTACCTCATTCCCCCAGCCTACTAACCCACAGCAAGAATCTCCAGCCTCAGCTCTCCACTGAGCTCCCTTGTGGGGCTTTTGAAGGTTTTTAGGTTTAGGGTTCAGGGTTTAGGGTTTAGGGTTTAGGGTTACCTCAGCTCCCCACTGAGCTCCAATGTGCTTTACAAGGTTTTTTAAAGTTTTTCAGGTTTGTGGTTTGGGGGTTTGGGTCTAGAGTTTAGGGTCTGGTGTTTCGAATTTGGGTTTAGGGTTGCCAAGTCTCTCAGGGTTGGCTTACGCGGTCAGTCAACAAGTCCGGCTTCAAAAGGAGGTCCCATCTCAGTTTTTACGGTTTAGCACAACAGGTTCAGGGCTTGGGGTTTAGGGTTTGGGGTTTTGGGTCTGGGGTTTAGGGTGTTGCCAAGCCTCTCAGGGTTGGTTTTCGCTGGCAGCCAACAAGGAGTCCGGTTTCAAAAAGGGGCGTTGCCAAGACGCATTTCTTTGTTCATAACGATGTCAGAATTATTCTTTTGTATCGAGCACTTGTAGCTTTGTATTGTTCTCATCGCGGTCTATTTGTTAGTGTTTTAGTACTGCCATCACAATGGGCGTTCTTGTTGGGATCATCAACTGTTGCTATTGTTTTTGGCGTGGTTCTCGTTAAGTTAACGTTAGTGTTACTTATGGTCAGTATTCATCACTGTTGCGATTGCAATGGCTTGCCTTCTTTGACAACTTGCCATTCCATCATCATGTCTGGACATGTTGATATTTTTGTCTGCGACTTGTTCTTTGTTCCAGACAACTTGCGGCAATGGCCAGGACGAATGCCTGCCTGATTCTACGCCTCGACTTTGGGGAAAAACGGGCCCCCCACTCGCGGAAACCCTGCCAACTTCAACTTGCCGACAGCCTCATCAGTTACTGCCGCCCGTGGTACAACCGAGCGGTCCCGAGTCCAGCATCACTGGCACTTATGTAAAATGTAGCTGCCGTCTATCACTTTGTCGGTTGTGCACCCGAACTCGGATGCCTTTCAACCCTTAACCCAAACCGCAAAATCCCGAAACCTGCAGTGCTGTCGCTTGAGACCAGCGAAGCAGGTTGCAAAACAACAACAACGAAACCCTACCCGGATCCAAGATTCACTTAGTAGCTGGGTAGGTAGACTTTAACTGTTTTGGGGTGTATATAATCTACCAGGGTTGAAAGGTTAATCTGTTGAGGGGCAGGGTACCCAGCAAGTAACCCTAAACCCTAAGCCATAAACCCTAAAACCTAAACCCCAAACCCTAAACCCTAAACCCTAAACCCTAACCCCCTGATTCAAGCCTGCAACGCGCAAGGCCGAGGCAGTGCAGCGGCGGCGGAGCTCAGAGGAGTGGGTTTGGTTCTTTTTTGCCGGGTTTTAGGGGATTTGCGGTTTAGGTGTTTACGGTTTTAAGTGGTTTTAGGGGTTTTAGTAGGGGGGTTAGGGGGTTTAGTGTTTTACGGTTTTTAGGGTTTAGGGTTTTCGTGTTTAGGGTTTTGGGGTTTGAGGTTTAGGGTTTAAGGTTTAGGGTTTAAGGGTTTTATGGGCTCGGGGCTGAGGCACGAGCCCCAGATGCAAGAGGGCTTGGGGTTCAGGGTTTAGGGTTTCGGGTTCGGGGTTTAGGGTTAGGGTTTGGGGTTTAGGGTTCGACCTTGCGATTTCACGGAAGCCTGCCATCGCACCATCACGGCCCATTGTCATAATCGAGACAGAAACACAAACAACAGCAACTCCGACATGTCCTACCAATGAGCAGTTCACGTGCCAGGACTCGAGCACTACCCCTCGATGGCCGGGCTTTGCGATTCCGAGTGTGTGTGTGTGTGTGTGCGGGGGCTCAATACAAACCAGAGAAAGGGGGTCATGTGTGGGTGGCCACGGCTCTTGCCGAGAATGCTTTTGCAAGTGCTGTCACCTCTTTTTGGGGATGAGACATGTCGACTAGTCGTCTGCCCAATCAAACTCTGCATTTGTTGCACGGCTCGCTCTCTCTCTCTCTCTCTCTCTCTCTCTCTCTCGCTTTCACACGCCCCGCTCGAACAGCACTGACCCACAAGAACCCTGAAGACGACAGGCAGCAGCTGCATGAGGAGCACAAGCAGCTGACCATGCGCAAGGCAGGTAGCGTGCGGTGGGTTCGGTGCCGTTACCTGTGAAGCAAGATGTGTAGTCGAGATCTGGTCAGATCGTCCAGGCTGTGGGCTTACAGGTTCATGTAGGTTTGTAAGTCGCCCTCAGTAAGGTTATAAGTATAGTTACCCTACTACTTCTAACCCCACTTATAACTAGCCATGAACCTCCAAGTAGCGGCCTAGCGAGGGCATTCGCAGTGGCCGGACAGTCCAAAGCTTAAAGCGCTTCCACGCAAGCTGCGATTGCTGGAAGGCGTTGGATGCGCAAATTCTTACCTAAGACGGTTCCATCGGTGTCAGAGTTCTTTGCAGCGCTTGGGAGGAAAGTAATTAGCTGACTTGAGTCGGCTTTGAGTTTACAGCGGACACCAAAAAGGTGACCCTAATTTAGAGAACTACCCATGTATTTCTCTGCAAGCCTGCAGACTGGCTTGGTTGGGGATGGTGGCGGACCCGTAGTGCACCGAACATTTATTGTCGCACATATTTTAGTATCGTCAGTCTCCACAAGCTCCAGAATCCAACCGACCAGCTCTGGAGCTCTGAGAGCCCTGGAAGCCAAAAACCTGGAGGCCGCTCGCGAGGAAGAGGGCCGGCGTGCGGCAGAGGAGCAGGCTGGAGCTGGCATCAGGGCCTTCTCCAAGCTTGGTCAGCTGCAAAACAGGGAAATCGAGAGAGGCGATACTGTGCCGTTCTTGTTTAGACAGGATTTTGGCATTTCCGTGTGAGTGTGTGCGTGGCCCTTACAGTTGCAGCCAAGAAGATTATGAACACCAGCTGAAACAGGCCACTGCTACAAGACCTTTCTAATCTTGTGCCCTGCCCTCCTTCGCTGTCTGGGAGGCGCAAGCTCTTCTTCGCCACGTGATGTGTCCTGCCCAATTCTTTCGTGGGGGCACCAGGTAGCTTTACTTTCGTAGAAGCTAGTAGATGCAGATGCTGGAATTCATTAGTCATTAGGATGTTCGTGGGGCATGAAAGCGGGGTGCAAGTAAGGGGTACCGGCTACCGGAAACCTATGCAGATCCTCACACACGATGGGAGAGCTGCAAGATATGACGGTTGGTCACACACATCTGAGTGAAGAGAGTGCCCACCGTTGTCCAAACATTGTTCCTAGGATCGTCCACCCGTCGTTTCTTTCCACTCACCGGAGAGATGGGGCAGGGAAGGCAAGCTAAGCGAGGCAACAAAACCCTGCCCACACTTTGTGTGGTCTGGTCGGGGTTTTAAAAATATGGAGCCTTTGTGTACCCAAGAGGGTTTAGGGTCTAGGGTTATGCACCCTAAACCCTAAAACGATGCTGTTGCCTGGAGTTGTTTGCCCGAGCGTAAGAGGCTAAACCCTAACAGAAAGGACTGTTGTGAGGCGGAGTTGTTGGGTAGTTTTCAGTCATTTAATAAGGTTTAGGGGTTAGTAAACGCTTACAACTTTAAACTTATGGCCTCACAACAGTCCATTCATAAGTGGGAATCTTGACCATGATGTTTGGCATACATGATTTGGGGGGTGGGGGGGGGGAGGGGGGAGGGAGGGGGGGGGGGGGGGGGGGGGGGGGGGGTGGGGAGGGGGGGGGTGGGGGGGGGGGGGGGGGGGAGGGGGGGGGGGGGGGGGGGGGGGGGGTGGGGGGGGGGGGGTGGGGGGGGGGGGGGGGTGGGGGGTGGTGGGAGGGGGTCCTGGAGTTGGCCCATCTTGGCAGGAGTCCCCCCCCCCCCCCCCCCCCCCCTCCCCCCCCCCTCAAGCGTAACAGCCGTAGCTGTGCCACAGTTGGTTTGCTTTCACGTATTTCCAGACCTGTTATTCGGAAGTTCCCTGCTTTCGAAACACAGCCTTTGTTTCGAAACACAGCCCCTGTTTCGAAACATGGATGTCACAGCCACAACTGCTTCACAAAACGATATCCAATCTCACCTTGGTTCCAGCTATATCTGAAGGTTGCGATGTCACATGTGCGAGTAAAAGGATATCTGCTCATAGTATTCTCGCGTCCCCGGGGCCTACAGGACATGTCTTGATGATGTGGGTGCTAATCATGTAGGGTTATAAGGTTAAAAATCCTATAGAGTTTAGCGTTATGACCCTAAACCCTATATGCTTTAAGGCTTAAGGAAAACAGTAAAGTGGTTAAATCACTGAGGGACTAGGGTTACGTTTTTGCAATGCCCTAAACCTTAAACTCTAAACCTTTAACCTCTTATAGGGTTTAAACCCTAAAGGGCTAACCCGGTAGGGTAGACAAACCCTGACCCGAAAGGGGCCCTATAGGGTTTAAGGCTTAACCTAGTTTGAATGCCCAAACTTGAATTTAAATCCCCAGGCCTTAAACCTCTGAAAACCTTATAGGGCTTAAAGGCTTTAATGCTTAAACCTGATGTATTTAAGGTCTGGGCATTTATACATTCAGCATTAGAACCCTAAACCCTTTATGCTGTAAGGCTTAAGGTAAACAGTAGGGTTTAAGTCTCAAGACCTATAATATAAGGTTATAAGGTTCTAATCCTATAGAGTTTAGCGTTATAACCCTAAAGCCTATATGCTTTAATTAAGGCTTCAGGAAAACAGTCAAATGATTAAATCCCTGAGGGTCTAAGGTTACGTTTTTGCAATGCCCTAAACCTTAAACTCTAAACCTTTAACCTCTTACAGGGTTTAAATCCTATAGGGTTAAACCTTTAAAAACCTTATAGGGCTTAAATGTTTTAATGCCTAAACCTGATGTACCTAAGGTGTGGGCATTTATACCTTCAGCGTTATAACCCTAAACCCTATCTGCTGTAAAGCTTAAGGTAAACAGTAGGGTTTAAGTCTCAAGGCCTATAATATGGGGTTGTATCAAAACCCCGCGCAGTCGATTTTGAAAGGAATTGCCCGAAGCGTTTGGGCCGTGCTTCTGACTCGTAAAACGATAATCAAGAAAATAAACCGATAACTTTGTAGTAACAGGGCGGGCAGGCGCTATTCCAGTGATAAGCTTGTACTACAAATATATGAAAACATTGAAAACCCAGCCTGCTCAGCTTGCACTACAAATCAACGGAAACCTAGCCGGTTTCAGTGCTAAGCTTGTACAACAAATCAATGAAAACCCAGCCTGCTCAGGGGCACGTCCGTTCCAGTACTAAGCTTGCACTACAAATCAACGAAAACCCAATCGGCTCACGGGAACGTCGGTTCCAGTACTAAGCTTGTACTACAAATCAACGAAAACCCAACCGGCTCACGGGAACGTCGGTTCCAGTACTAAGCTTGTAGGATGAATAGATTTAACTCGGGTTTTTATACAACCCCATATAGGGTTATAAGGTTCTTATCCTATAGAGTTTAGCGTTATAACCCTAAACCCAAACACCATATGCTTTCAGGCTTAAGGAAAACAGTAAAGTGATTAAATCCCTGAGGGTTACGTTTTTGCAATGCCCTAAACCTTAAACTCTAAACCTTTAACCTCTTATAGGGTTTAAACCCTGTAGGGCTGCACTATAGGGTTTAAGGTTTAACCTAGGTTGAATGCCCAAACCTGAATTTAATTCAACCTTTAAAAGCCTTATAAGGCTTAAAGGTTTTAATGTCTAAACCTGATGCACCTCAGGTCAGGGCATTTATACCGTCGGCGTTATAACCCTAAACCCTCGTACATCTGCTTTGCACTCGCAACAAAATCAACTTCATCCAAAACACTGCATCACATTCAAAAAACTCCGCCTCACAACAGTCCCCTCTCAACCCTAAACCCCCACCCCCCGATACCATACAAACCCTAAACCCTAAACCCTAAACCCTAAACCCTAAACCCTAAACCCTAAACCCTAAACCCTAAACCCTAAACCCTATACGGCTGCCAAGCCCAGGCCGCACACCAAGCTGCCAGCTGAGCAGGTCGACCAAATTACGAACAGGCTCTACACAGAAAGCGTGGCGAACCTTGGACTGAGTTTCCGGCTGAAGGGCTTTCGGTTTTTAACGTTTGGGGAGGGTTCAGGGTTTAGGGTTTAGGGTTTAGGGTTCAGGGTTCAGGGTTTAGGGTTTAGGGTTTAGGGTTTAGGGGTTCAACACTGGTTCATCCCAAATTGTCAGTGCTTCTGGGCTCTCTCAGATGGTGGCCGATCAACCGACAGTTTCTCGCACACCTCAAAACCTTGAATCCCAAACCCTGAGTCGCGTCCCACGTGCCAACGGCGAGTCATGGCTTCCCTACCAATTGCTTAAGAACCCCCCCAAAAAATCCTAAGACTCTTCCTTTTAAGGGTATTCTAGGGATTGTTTGATTGTTTTTGTTTAAAAAATACTTTTTGGGGTTCTTAAGCAAATAGTGCTTCGTCATGCTGAGGGAGAAGGGCCGGCGGAGGGACCAACAGAAGAAGCAGCATGAAGATCGCATGGCCAGGCCAGTTGAGTGACGTTCGCTGTATCGGCTTTGGCCTGGCAACTTCCCAAAGACACGCTTGGGGATCGTGTAACTGTGCGGTTATGCAAGCCCGTTTATATATACACCAGTAAATAAATGAGGAAACCTTAATAACTTTTAGCAACATCTAAACCACCAACATCTACCAGTGCCTGAAGATTGGCTGCGCAGTATCGACGCTCACCCTTTCAGTCATGAGCTCGGTGGAAGTAAGGGCAGCAGTCGAGTCTGTTGTCAAGAAAGTTGGGGTTGCGTGTGAACTTCGTCGCGCATGGCCGTTCAGATTTTTTTGGGAACTGACACTTTTGAGTCAGGGCAGCTGTACCCAGCAGCTGCTGACGGCATCCGTTTGCAGCAGGGGTTGCCTTCATGATGGAGACATGTGGGTGGTTGTCAAAATTATGGTCCCTTTTTTGGATCCCAATTATAATACGGCACCTAGTATTTAGGGTAATTACCCAAAAAGGGATCGTTATTTTGACAGCCACCCATGTGGAAGTTTCTGTAGGTTGGGGAAAGCGACCAGATGCCAACTTGTTGGGCAGGACTTGCTGCTTCGCTCCGAATGCTCACAAGCCTGACAAGCCACTGTCCCCATCTCCAGAGACGTTCCGCGGAGTTGTTCTCTATGTGCCCTGGCTTGGTTGAGAGGATGTGCGTAGGGAAGGTCCGGGCAGGTTTATATGAGATATGAGGATTCTACTATGAATCTTGCCCTTGGGTGGGGAGCAGTCAGTAGTAATCAAGGACAAGGTCTTCCACCTTGCTGCTACAAGTTCCGGAGGCATAACGTCAATCCTATGCCCCGCTTCTTAAATCCACGTGCGAAGACCAAAGTCGCACGGATCCGTGAGCCGGAACTCAAAAGTCCAGATAAACCCTAAACCATCCCTAAACCCTAAACCCTAGTTTGCCGAGGACCTTGGAGGGGCCGTACACTGTAAGCAAAGCTGAAAATCTGAATGGTTGAAGCCTCTTGGGCAACCAGCTACAGGGGCATCAAGGGGCCGGGATGCAGGGGTGCCAGAGCGAGAGGCTCACGAGCGGTCTGTTTCTGAGTCTTGACAATAACAAGCACCATGTCGGGCTTTAGGGTTTGTAGTAACCAGGTTTTTTGGAGCCGATAGGCTTTCCGGAAGGTTTGGCAGATGCCCACCACCTGATGTGTGTTTCGCTGCGCTTGTGTGAGGAGAACTACATGAGGAAGGTCATTCGCCGGGCTGCAACTGAGAAGCTACTGGGCTGCCCTAAACCCTAAACCCTAAACCCTAAACCCTAAACCCCAAAGCCCAAAGCCCTAAAACAGCAGCAGAGAGACCAGAGGATGAGCACCCCCGACTCAAGGAAGCGGTTGAGGGTTTAGGGTTTAGGGTTTAGGGTTTAGGGTTTAGGGTTTAGGGTTTAGGGTTTAGGGTTTAGGGTTTAGGGTTTAGGGTTTAGGGTTTAGGGTTTAGGGTTTAGGGTAACTTTTTGTGGTACATACAAGCCTACCACAATTCAAAGGTTTACCTTAAGTTTTTGGGCCAGGGTCCTCAGCATTCTGAGGGTTATTGTCGTATTACCAAGGGACCACAAGGGAATTATTATTGCTATTCTTCCGACCCCTACAGTACATGATTGCCCGCGAAGTGAAAGTACAGCTCGTTTCCAGCTCCCCACACCCCCAGACTGTTTAGAACCCTTCCTTCACTAGCGGCTGCATGGACTACTGTACAGCAACAAACTTGGTGGGAACCTAGCGAATCACCATGCACCCCGGTCTCGGCAGTACGCACCACACATGTATGGGGCGAAGGTCCGAAGCTAAGAATCAAGGGACTGAAGGAGGGACCCTTAAAAGCGACCTTAGGGGATTTTTTAGGGTTATTCAGGGGCTACTTAGGGTATACAGGGACTATACAAGGTTATACTATAGGGGAATAAGACTCAGGGTCCAGTCTAGGGGTCCCTCAGCCCTTGCGAACCTCAGGGCAGACTCCGCCAGCGCAGCGCAGAAGAACATCTCTCCCAAGTTGCAGGCAGCGCTCAGGACACTCAACCCGCATTCAGAGCACGGTTTAGGGTTTAGGGTTTAGGGTTTAGGGTTTAGGGGTTTAGGGTTTAGGGTTTAGGGTTTAGGGTTTTGGGGTGGGGAGGTGGGGGAGGGGTGTTGCTGCAAGGGATCGGATCCGTGGCCATAAAGCCCCCGGCATGCCTCAAGACCCCGAGGCTAGCGTACTTGCAGCGGTTCGTGCGATCTCAGGCAAACTGTCTACATCCCTGCCGCCTCTGCGACATCACGGAGCCCGGATCCCGATCAAGAGAACTGCATATCACCCCAACTGGCGGCTTTTTCTGCGAAGTCGGCGGAGAAGCTCGAGGCTCAGAAGAGATTCGGCCGCAGAATGTCGCCGATGCTTAGCCTTCATGTTGACTGTGGCGGAATCTCACTAGACGAATATAGCTCGTGAGCCTTTGAGAATTTGAAGTCTCTTCGGCAGTCTTGCCCATGTGGCGTGCATCATGTGGCGTGCTGTTACCGCTGCTCCTTCAAGCCCTGCTTCGCGTTGGCTTCCAGCAGTATGTCTGCCCAAGAGTGGGGGGTGCCCCCGTAGTGGCCAACAGCTCACAAGCAGCCTGGGTCAGGAGACCGATGTGCCATGAACACACGAGTGATCGTCGTGTTCAGCTTGGCCGTGATTGCTGGAGTCCTTTGTACATCGTATCTACCTGACCTACAATCAGAGCCTATATCCCCCTTGGGACTTATTTTTTTATTTTTGCTCATATAAAACTCAAGAGGGTATTAAACATATTGTTTTTATTAAGGTTCTAAGGGGAGTGTAGGAGCTTCCGATCTCGAATCGGGTTGCTACCGCCGCCGGCTTCGTCTCCAGCGGGGCATCTGCTGCTGCTGGGCTTCTGTCTGGCGCAGGTTTGCTCGCTCAAGCCGACGACGTGGAGTTCGCTAAGCCAGTTGACCATGAAGTCCAGCTGGACATACCGCCCGTGTTCAAGTGCAATCCGTTCGATCACGTGCGCCTTGGCTGAGCTTCGACCAGAAGGTTTTCAAAGAGCTTTCGCGTTTATGGACGAAAGAGGCAACACACATATGGAGACACACACACACACACACAGACACACACACAGAGGCTCACTCACACACACACACACACACACACACACAGAGGCGTACACGCACACGTGCACGCGCACGCGCACGCGCACGCGCACGCGCACGCGCACGCGCACGCGCACGCGCACGCGCACGCGCACGCGCATGCGCACGCACACAAACAGGCTCACACACACACACACACACACACACACAAACAGGCTCACACACACACACACACAGGCTCACACGCACACAGGCTCACACGCAAACACGCGCAAACGCGAACACGCCCACACGGGGCTTTTGGGGCTCACAATCTGATGCGCTGAGGCTGGTCGTCAACCTCGAGGGCCCCGGCGGAGAAGCACGACGCAACCACATCCTCCGAGAGTTCGGAAAAAAGGGGCTGAAGGGAAGGTTCAAGTTCTGGCCGGCTGTGAACTTCGGGACAGATGAAGGCTTAGCTGCAGAGAGAAACCAAAAAAAGTGCCCATGTGATCCAAAGGTGGGTTGCGGGCTTAGCCATCGTCGCATCTATGAGACCATGCTCGCCGAGCAGTGGGCATGCGCGACGATCTTCGAGGACGATGTGACCCTCGCGGAAAACTTCACCACAAGAATAGAGGCCGCGATCGACAGCATCCCACCATTTGATGTGATCTTATGGGGCTTCTGCCCCGGTGGTTACAAGCCGAGGCATGCACCCAAGGATCAGAGCTCGGTCCCCATTCTTAGTTATGGTTGGCCGGGCTCGTGTGTCCATGCCTATACCGTCAGTCTGTCGGGGGCGCTTGTGCTTACTCAGGCGAACACGCCCGTGGTGGTCGCACCAGATGGGGCGATGGACGGCATGCATTGGTACAAAGACAAGACCAGGTTGCACATAGACCGATCTGCGGGAGTGATAACGGGCTCTTACTGGTGGGTCAACCCTCAGCTATCGTGGCAAGGGGTGGAGGCGGACAACTTGGAAGGAGGAGTATAACCAGTCAGACAGGTGAGGCCCGCTGTTTCACTTTGCTCCCCGCCAACGGCGAATTCGGCATCAGAGAAAGATGGAATCGAGAAGGGGTAACCTTCTGGTTCATATGGGTGGTTGTCAAAAATTAGGGTCCCATTTTGGACCTATTATAATACGGCACCTAACATTTAGGGTACCCCAAGAAGGGACCATAATTTTGACAGCCACCCATATGAGCTTTCGGTCTGCGGACACTCTGCTTTTCGTGGCGTAATCATGCACTGGCTGCACCATCTTTTTCGGACAGGTCGCAATTTCAAGGGCGTGCTAAGCAGGATGTGACAACGGGGAAGGGGGTGGGCGCAAGCAATCGCAACCATTCGGGCCCCAATGGGACGAAATTGAAAATGCATTTTTTTGTTCGGAATCGAGCGCGCTTGGCGTCTCTTTGACCCTTTTGTGTCAGTCGGGTGTCCGGCGTCCGGCATTAGGGGCACCTTATTGGGGTCCCTATTCTAAGGATCCTACTATTTGGAGTTTATATTTGGGGTCCCTTATTGTCGTAAACCCCCATGTTGGCACGGCAATGAACACTAAACCCACCCAAGCCTGCCCGGTTTGTGGCAGTTTCAGCAAATGCTCTGGCCAGCAAGTGCTCGTTCCCGTTCACTCCGGCTTGACGTTGCCGCCCAGTCCTTTTTTCAACACAGCCCTTCCCCTGGCAGCAGATGGTCACATAGTCTGTCGGCCTACAGCTAATTCGCCCGCAGCTTAGAGTTCGGCGAACTAGCAAAAAACCCCAACAATGTCCTGCCTAAAGATTGTGGATCTGAATTTCTCGACCGAGTGTGGCACAACCAGCAAATGCTCAGACACGCATCTACCGCAGTGAGCCTGCATGTTGCATCCGTGGTCTTAGACATGTCAGTGAGACCTGTTTTAAGATAGCGGGGTGCTTCCGCAACAGCTTAGTAGGCCTCAGCAACTCAACCAGAGCAGCAGCAGCAGCACCGCCACCACATTCACCACGGATGTATGGTGTCGGCATAGCTTCCTACCTTTGAGGGGAAAGGCTGAGCTGCCAGGCACGAGCTCCTGGCGGAGGTTCCATGAATTGGCGCTTGCTAGTGGCCTTCAGCGTGGCCATCATCGGCGGAGCACTGTTCAGCTCCTACTTACCTGACCTGCATGGAAGCCAGACAGAGCTCTCGCGCACTGACAAAATTTCAATAAGCAAGGGAACTGTCTTCAGTGGAGCAGCTGCTTCTGGTTTCATCTCCGGCGGGGGACTGTTGTCCAATGCGGAGGCTGTGGAGTTCGCACAACCTGCGGAGCATGACGTCAAGCTGGACATACCGCCTGTGTTCAAATGCAATCCCTTTGATCATGTGCGCCTTGGCATCGTTTCCCTGGGTGCCACCACGTCCGCACGGACTGTATTGTTGCTTATGGTTTTCAGAGGAGCCATCTTGTCATCTAAACCCTAAACCCTGAACCCCAAAAACCCTAATCCACCTTGTCATACCCCAACCCCTGAACCCTAAACCCTAGTCACCCTTGTCATACCCTAAGCCTGAACCCGAAACCCTAATCCACCTTGTCATCTTGTAGCTACGATATTCAGACTTTAGACTGTGTTTGCAAGCTGGGGTATGCCGGGACCATGAAACCGGGCTCGCCAGGCTCAGAGTTAAGGGTTTAGGGTTTAGGATTTAGGGTTTAGGGTTTCGGGTTTAGGGTTAGCGTTGTATCGCGCTGTTTCAGGCTGGTCGTCAACCTCGAAGGCCCCGGCGGAGAAGCCCGACGCAACCACATCCTCCGAGAGTTTGCAAAGAAAGGCCTGAAGGGAAGGTTCAAGTTCTGGCCTGCAGTGAAGCTAGGTATCCCCTTGGGACATTTTTCTGTGTCCCACCTTTTTTGGGGGTGTGTTGAAGAGGATGCTGGTTCCATATCTTCCCTTATAGTTCTGGCACCTGCAGTGAATCATGCTTCTATTTTCCCTTTTTTGGGGGGTTTACGAGGATCCTATTCTACATTTTCCCTTATCGGGTTCAAGAGGATCCTATGTTATATTTTCCCTTATTGGGTTTAAGAGGATCCCATTTGTTTTTTCAGAGGGTGTTAAGGGCCATCTTAGGAACTTTGGCACAGACGAACAGCTGGCCCAGGAGACAGGGAAGAAGAAGTGCCCCTGTGATCCCAAAAAAGGCTGCGCGCTCAGCCACCGGCGTATTTATGAGACCATGCTCGCCGAGCAGTGGGCATGCGCGACGATCTTCGAGGACGATGTGACCCTCGCGGAAAACTTCACCGCGAGAATAGAGGCCACCATCGACAGTATCCCACCATTTGATGTGATCTTATGGGGCTTCTGCCCCGGTGGGTCCAAGCCGAGACACGGACCCAAGGATCAGAGCTCGGTCCCCATTCTTAGGTATGGTTGGCCGGGCTCGTGTGTCCATGCCTATACCGTCAGTCTGTCGGGGGCGCTTGTGATGACTCAGGCGAACACGCCGGTCCAAGTACCTATATCCCCCTTGGGAATTATTTTTATTTTTGTTTATATAAAACCCAAGAGGATATTAAGAGTACTATGTTTATTAAGGTTCTAAGCGGAGTGTAGGTACCTCCAGATGGAGCCATGGACGGCATGCATTGGTACCACGACAGGGCGAGGCTGCATATCGATCGATCTGGGGGAGTGATAACTGGCTCCTATTGGCTTCTTAGTAGCTGAGTGGGCACGCTTTACACTTTTTGGGATACTATATAATCCCTAAACCCTAAACCCCTTGACCCAAAACCCTAAACCCCTATAAAACTGAAAGTGTACACTTTTGGGGGGGCTTATGAACTCAGCAACCAAGGTTTGCCACCCCTCAGCTATCATGGCAAGGGGTGGAGGCAGACAATTTGGACGGAGGAGTGTGAGCCAGGAGGGTGTAGGGTTTAGGGTTTAGGGTTTAGGGTTTAGGGTTTCCTCAACCAGAGGTGCTGAGAAAAAAGTCGCTGACGAAAGCTGTCACATGTTTCAGAACAGAAGATGACTACTAACTTGTTGCTGTGTAGTATGGTCATCGTGGTGCTTGGGGGGTGTGGCGCTTGATGTTTTGAAGTGACACCGCGAGCCCGAAAGGATGTTGCATGCGCTCTCATGAGAGCACTGCAGCGCGCGTCAGACCAAGATTTCCACCCAGAGATCTCCAATTCCTCAGATCTAAACCCTAAACCCTAAACCCATCTACAGAATACGACTCTGAATCCACAGACCTGTCGAATTGGCGCCTTACCCTAAAACCTAAAAACTAAACCCTAAACCCTAGACCCTAGACCCTAAACTGTGACTCTCTGACTTTAAAGCACTATCGATGCCGTCCGATCCCAGGAGAGCGCGCAAAGAGTGCGTGACCGGGCAGCACCTTCATTGGCAGCTTTCCTGTGGAAAGCTCTCATACCAGGGTTTAGGGTTTAGGGTTTAGGGTTTATGGGTACACCAGGATGAGTCGTTGATACTTGGGCTCACCCGTGCAAGCCAATGTGAGAATCTGGAATGTTCAGCCACGTTCTTCGTAGGGAATGAGGGACCTATATACGCCCTTAAAGGGTATACATATATATATATATATATAGTATATATCTATATAGTATATATATACATATATATATATATATGGGGCCTACTTCCCTCATTCCCTACGAAGAGTCATGGGGAACAGGTGGACAAGCTCTTCAAGTGGGCCTCCGATCGCGAAGAGCGGCTGTCCCGGCTGCGTAAGGAGAAGGAGGAGCAGCTGGAGGCCGTGGGAGGATCCCCAGGGAGCAAAATCAGAAGAAACCGGGTTTAGGGTTCGGGGGTTAGGGGTTTAGGGGTTGAGGGGTTTAGGGGTTGAGGGGTTTAGGGTTTATAGGGTTTCTTCAAGGGGATTTGGGCGGACTTAGCCTGTTGAAGCAAAGGCTGTGCTCGGGATGGAACGCGTTTCAGATGGCAGTCCTGATTGAAACCTTCTCCCAATCTCCGCTCTCAGGGCTTGAGAAACTCTTGTGTAACTTGAAGAAGCCTCTTACATCATGGAAGCCAGCCCTAAACCAGCAGTTGTGAGAACACCTTGACCTGAGTTCTTGTATGGGCTTGAGGCCCAGAGCAAATTCTCCTGCCTAAAGGGCCCTGTTGGTATGCAGGGCTCCTGGGCTGAGGGTTTAGGGTTTAGGGTTTGGGGTTTGGGGTTTGGGGTTTGGGGTTTGGGGTTTGGGGTTTAGGGTTTAGGGTTTAGGGTTTGGCGTTTAGGGTTTAGGGTTTAGGGTTTAGGGTTTAGGGTTTAGGGTTTAGGGTTTGGGGTTTAGGGTTTAGGGTTTAGGGTTTAGGGTGGGTGGAGAAGACCTGTCTGTCGTCATCTGAAGAGTTCGTCAAGACATCGGAATCGACCCTAGTCATAACCGGCCTTGGGTACTTGATGAGTGAGGTTTAGGGCTTAGGGTTTAGGATTTTGGTTTTAGGGTTTAGGGTTTAGGCTGTTTAAGGTTTAGGGTTTAGGGTTTAGGGTTTAGGATGTAGGGTTTAGGGTTTAGGGTTTAGGGTTTAGGGTTTAGGGCTACTTGACGGTTCATGGGTAGTTATGTAAAGTACCCTAAATCAGGTAATTATCAGTTTTATTTAGAGCGACCCTACTTGTAACCCCACTTACAAGTAACCTCCTCCCCCTAACTTCAAACCCCCCTTCCCCCTGATGGTAAATCCCCTCTCCCCTTATACTCCAATATACCTACAATGGGAGTATTTTAATATTCGCCATACTCTAATATAACTACAGTGGGAGTCTTTGAATATTTGGCGGGGGGGTTATTGGGGGAGGGGACCCTAAACCCTAAACCCTAAACCCTAAACCCTAAACCCTAAACCCTAAACCCTAAACCCTAAACCCTAAACCCTAAACCCTAAACCCTAAACCCTAAACCCTAAACCCTAACCTCTAAACCCTAAACCCTAAACCCTAAACCCTAAACCCTAAACCCTAAACCCTAAACCCTAAACCCTAAACCCTAAACCCTAAACCCTAAACCCTAAACCCTAAACCCTAAACCCTAAACCCCAATCCCTCCGAAACAGGCCGAGCTCAGGGCTGCATCCGTCCATGCCAGCGCAGGCAGGATAACGCGAAGCGGCCGTCCCCAAATTGGCCGCCGCAAATCCGTTCTCTCACGACCCACAAGAGGACATTGCCCAAAATAGGGGTTAGGGTTTAGAGGTGAGGGCCTCCTAGAATATACACTCAAGATACTAAGAGTATAGGACACAGTTTTGAGCCTCCCAGTCCCACATCCAGAAATGACAGCCGGAGGCGCGCTGAGGGTATTTTAGGGCCTCTTCGGGTTTCCCGCTTCTGGGAATTGACAGGGTTTAGGGTTTAGGGTTTAGGGTTTAGGGTTTAGGGTTTAGGGTTTAGGGTTTAGGGTTTAGGGTTTAGGGTTTAGGGTTTTGGTTCGCTCTTGACCCTTAAAGGGCTTGGGCATGTTCACGCGCCTGCCTGCACTTCCCTAATAACACCCCCCCCCCCCATCTCCCGACACACCCCCTTCAGGGTCTTCTTCTTGGAGGTTCATGGGTAGTTATAAGTGGGGGTTCTAAGTAGAGGAACTAGACTTATAACCCTACTCAGGGTACTTCTAACCCTGCTTATAACTACCCATGAACCTCCAAGTTTGGCTTTTAGGGCACAGGGTTTAGGGCTTCGGGGTTCTGCTCGGAGAGCGCCAGTGCAAACGCTTTCCCGCCACATGCCTCGGCCTCAGCACGGCTTCAACAAAGCAAGAACGTGAAGAAGAAACCCAGATCTTCCAAAACCCCTCAATTCAGGAATATACCCTAATTCATGACAAGGATCCTTAGTAGAAATTAGGGTATATTCCTGAATTAAGGGGTTTTGGAAGATCTGGGTACGAGGCTCCAAAAGTGAGGACAGTTACGAGGATGGCGAATCCGGGGTGTGGGATACCGTGGGGGGTCCCCTCAGTTCGCGGCTCAGAATGACTGTTCCCTGCCAGTGTTTGAGAAAGCCCCTGAAGTCATGCAACAAGTCCCAGGGTTTAGGGTTTAGGGTTTAGGGTTTAGGGTTTAGGGTTTGGGCCTCAAGACTCCCAGGGGCCTTTCGAGATCCTTCAGCCTGCAACTTGTAACACTTACCCACGGTGGTAGGGCATAAAGAGAGTACCTTGAAGGTTCATTTGAGTACTTACAAGTAGGGTTATAAGTACTCTAATTAAGTAAGGTTATAAGTATAGTTTGTTTGTTTGTTTTTGATTCGGTTCGTTTGAGTATTTACAAGTAGGGTTATAAGTACCCTAAGTAAGGTTATAAGTACCCTAAGTAAGGTTATAAGTACCCTAAATAAGGTTCTAAGTATACTTCTATTACCAACCCTGAACCTCCGCGCCTCGAGGGTCAGATGCTGGCCATGAGCCGAACCGCCACGAGCGCCTTTACGAGGACAGGCCTCACCATTCCCAACCCTAAACCCTAAACCCTTTTTGTGTGTTTAGTACTTTGGGGTAGTAGAGCCATTGCAGAGCCCCCAAATGCTATGCCTAGACTTAGGAAGGCTTCACGGTTTAGGGTTTAGGGTTTAGGGCTTAGCTTCATTCGAAGTGGCCGGGGCTATCCAAGTTGTGGGCCCCATGGCGTAGAGATTGTGTGCAAGATGTGAGAAACACGCGCGTTTGCCTATGGCTTGGTTTCTGGGTCATGACACGGCCGGGTGAATGTTTAGCCTTGCTTGGGGCCGTTTCGCAAAGCTGGACCGAAGGCCTCCAAAACACGTCCTCAAGTCGAGGTCACGGGGTTCGGATCTTGGGCCGATGTGGATTTTTCCGTTCTAAACCCTAAGCCCTAAACCCTAAACCCTAAGCCCTAAACTGCACGTTTGAACTCGATGGGCTGAGCGTCTGACTCTGGCGTGCAGGACCACTATTCCAGGCGGAAGCGGCACGAGGCGGCTCATACGAATCATTTTCAGAACAGCACTATATCGAGGGTTCAGGGTTTGGGGTTTAGGATTTAGGGTTTAGGGTTTAGGCTAGATTGATACCACGAGTAATAACACTAGTAACCCTGAAAATACCCCCTCATTGTGGCAAAGTTTGCTTTAAATCCCTTATTTTACCATTTAGAGTTACTTGGCACTGATTTGTATTGTTGGGGTACTATAACTCCTAAGAAACAGCTCAATTTGTAATTTTAGCTAGGGTTCCAAGTTCAGTATAAACCACTCAGCACACCAGTCCCGTGTGGTCTTGAACACCCCGCGCCTTGAACCATTCCTGCACCCTAAGCCCTAAACCAAAAACCCTAAACCCTAAGCCCTAAACCCTAAACCCTAAGCCCTAAACACCCTAAACCCGAAACCCTAATCAACCCTAAACCTGCACTATTGCATGGAAGCATGGCGGCACGCCATGCCCTTGCCAGGAGGCGTGGGCCAAAAGCCTGCAAGAGTTTCTGACGCACGGCCCAGGCTTCAGTCTTGGTAACCTAGGGGTCGGACTAATTTTACTGATCGTATTCCCTTATTGTTCCGTTCGAAATATCCCAGAATATCCCCCAAGGTCCTTTTCTAGTCATTAAGGCCCCTCTATTACACCCGCCAATGCCTAAGCCGTCATGTCAGTAAGAAGATTGCCGGGAAGCGGACAAAGGATAGAACAGCATGGCACGGCTGGCGCAGTAATGAGGCAGGCCGGGCCCTCTTACTACCTGCAAGTTGTCTCGATTAGGGTTTGGGTTTAGGGTGTAGGGTGTAGGGTGTAGGGTTTAGGGTTTAGGGTTTAGGGTTTAGGGTTTAGGGTTGGGTTTAGGGTTTCTTCTGTTCTTGAAATTGATTCCTGAGACATTTTGCAGCATGCGCTGCGTGCAGCGCTTGGGCTGGGACACTTTGCAAGCT